AACTTCAAAGAATTTTCTAACTACAACTGTTTCGGGATTTCTTACAACGCTGTGAACCTCACGAAATACGTCCTATTCTACTCTAATAGTTTTGATAAAAATATTTAACGTACTATTATAACACGTGACGTGTTCGATAATAATATAGCTATTATATTTTTTTTAAATGCATTTCCATTCGATCGTTCGCAGAAGAAAAAATAATTATTTAAAATAAATTCATCCGTTATCAATTTTGTTAATAATGTTTAAACGCTCTAAGGTCGAAATATATCGTTTAAAACAGTGTTTCTCAACCTGAGGCACGCAACATTTACAGGGTCATTAAGGCACATTAACATTTGCGGGTCGCGAATTAATTATTTAGATTACCGAAAATTTAAAACAATGGATCTCCGTATGTAATATATATACTATTTAGGGGTCAATAAAATATTGAATATTCATTTAAGGGGTCGCGGCAGTAAAAATTAAAGAAACTCTGGTTTACAATACAAAAGTACGTATTAATATTTAATATTTTAGTAATATTTGTAATGAAATTATCATCAGTTTCGTCGTTAAAACATAATGAGAGCAAACAAAAATCTATATTGCGTAAAACAAAAATCACGAATTTGTTTTTACATATAGTTATCATTAGAGCTGTAATATTTTAAAAAAGAGTATTTTTTTTAAGTCAATTGTGAAATTTAGTTTCTTAACACAAAGTTTTAAAGATGTAACGATGAATTTTAGAAATTTTTTAAGTCATTCATTTACCTTTGAAGAAAAATGTTTTCTTTAATCAGTTCATTTTACTTTATTTTCAACCATTTTTACACGAATTACATATTTTTAATTTATACAATTTGTATATATGTCATTAGGGAGGGCCTTAGATTACTCATTTAAATTTTTATGTTTGTTGCATTATTTACGGCACCTCTCCCTCCACTTCATTGTTTGTCTATACCAAAAATTGAATCCCTTATTTTAATAATTATTTAACTATGATATATATATTTTACTGTCATTTCTGTAATATTTGTAAATAATAATTAAGATTATATCCAAACATATATTAGGAAGATTTAAGTTGTTATTGAATTTGTATAAGAAATAATTGATAAATAATTTTAATCTAAATATCATGTTATTAACATAATCTTTATAATCTTTATACGATAAGTAGAGAACACTTCAAAAGCATGCTAAAAAAATACAACATGCTATAATGAATAAGAAAAACTAGTTTTTTCAAATTTTAATGGTTTATTCGATTTAGCCCACGCAGATGCTCTATAAATTTGAAAACTAAAACAGCTAAATATACTTTTTTTTAAAAAAACAGTGTACCAAAGAGAAACAAAAATGTTTTACTAACGAAATCCCAAAATACCGTATAAGGTAATAGTAGTTATCGGGGAGGAAGGGAAATGGAAATGAATGCCCCCATCTTTGGAGTTTTTATTCACATTATACATGTGTTCCTATAACTTAATAGTTAAGAAATTTTACCTCATTACCCCTGTGGATTTCAAATTCACCTCCTTCTTCTGAACTGGGATTTAACCGCCACAGGTAGTAGGTATATTGCTTCCATAAAAATTATCTGAATAAATGATAATTCGAGAAAAGGTCTTCATCCGAACCCAGTAACAATAATATTATACGTATACAACCTATATAGTTGTAGAATATTATTTGAGGGTGTTAGAATTGTATAATTATATTCAATTTTATGATACAGATATTAATGATTCTAACGAAGTTCCTCGCAAAGATAGCTAAAAGCGTATCAAATAAAAACACAGAGATATCAATTGAATTTATTATAGAACTTTTAAATCTAACTAATCGATCCTCATTCTTTCCTATTCAGCAATTCAAATCTTCCCTAGATTCTTTCACTCATCCAACCATTTTCTTTCCGCAAGGATTTTTTTTTTTTTTTGTAGGTATTCTGTAAAATACTGAATAGAAAAAATATTTCAAAAGAAATGGATACAAACACGAAAACGAGCATTTCCTTGATATTATAAATAATAATAGACAACTTGTATGAGGTGCATAAAAGGCAAAAAACAGTGAGAGATTTGTGTACAATTTACACATATCTACCTATATCGACAATTTTCAAAGTAACAGGTAGACAAGATATTTGATCATTCGTTATTTACTTTTATCGAAAACTTCATGGGTATGTGATTTTTCAAAAAACCGCAATGCGTATAATATATTATATGTTATTCTTTATGCTTAGATCTTTTGTATCCGTAGAGGTTTAGATCCTGGTTCGAGATTATACAACAAAAAAAAATAATAATAAATCGGTTCGGAGAATACAATATACAGGTCCGTCTTGATTTAGTAAAATAGGTAACCATTTTATTATATTACAGTTCTTATACAGTATACATACGTTTTTGCTTTGTATTTGAAATAACCAAATAGAAAGAACCAAATAGAAAGAACCAAATAGGTACCCAGTGTCGGTCTGGTTCATAATTGGGTCCCCGGGAAAATATTTTCAATGGGCCCCTAAACAATAAAATATAGAATTCAAATTCAATAACTATCAACTAAAAAAAAATTTGTTCGCTTCACTCGTACTCTCTTAAAAATTTTAATAATATTAATTATATTTAATACACGAATTACATTATTTTATATTTATTTTTTCATTCTGGAGTGAAATAACATGTATGTCTAACGTATGTTGTGTTTATTTATTAAATTCGGTTAAAATACTAAATGATGTCTATATCACATCAATGCTCATATACAACATATAAAGATCAAGAAAATTTAGTTTCCAATGCTTAAATATTACGATTAAGTTTTCTTTCGATTTTTCTTCTAAGTAAAATCATAACATTATGTTAATTATTCGGTTAAATCTATTTTGTTTTTTCGACTTTATTAACTGTATAAAATAAATTATACAAAATTATTATTTAGCCATGTTATGTGACTATGAAAAAAATACATTAAAATAATATTTTAACTCATAAACACGTATTAAACAAACAATTTACACTTGCGTGGTTAGTCGATTGGTTACCTATAATAGCCAATAAGTACTAGATGAAACGTGGAAAATGTTAAAAAAATACACGCTATTCCTATTAACTGCAATATGAATAGTATAATGTACGTAATAGTCGTAACACTTACCTGAAAAAATTTTTCGAAATTACCCTAATTCATTCACGATAGAATATATTGATTTTTGTAGATAATTGAAAAAAAAAATTATACATTTTTGTACGTTGTATAATCCTTAAAGAAATTACGAATGAACACGACTCGCGTTTTACTTTTTGACTTTTTGATTTTACCTGACGATTAATTTTTAATTCGTAACCGGTCGTACAATACACATTTCATAATACATAATTCTGTTCTATATCTTACCTTCCAAACTTCTCATCAAAAAAGTGGTTAGACATCATGTGAAGTATGTTTTTAAGTATATTTTATAAGCGTTTTATTTTGACGAATATTATAAGTTTAACGACATTTCAAAACATGTATATAATTAAACAAAAATCAGTAAGCAAAAGTTCATTATTGCTTACAGGTAAATAAATGTATACATAGTGATCAAAATAACACGAAATACTCATTATCTCGGAAATTATTAATTGAGTACAATATTTCGAAATATGTTTTTAGATCATTTAAAAAATCAGTAGCTCTGATATTATGTTATTATTTCTCAGTTTTCCTTCGTTTTTCCTGATTTTTCACATTTTTTGAGAAACTCTTGAGAAAAGTCGAAAAATGACCTCCTTAAAGGACCTTCCCAGTCAAATTTCCTTTCAGGAAAATTGTTAGTATGAAAAATTGGAGCCAATTTACTTTTAGAAAAGCTGTTTACAAGAAAAAAGAAAGTCGTAAAGTTAACTTATACTTATATTTCTTTTGTTTCTTATATTTTCTTGCTTGTTCTCAGTTTTTTTTTTCGGTTTTTTACGTTCATTGAGAAAACTCTTGAGAAAATCAAAAAATGACCTTTCTAAAGTACCTCCCTAGTCGGATTTCCTATTAGAAAAATTGCTATCATTACCCCAGTTAAACTAAAAATGTGATTTTATTATCAATCGGTTAACATTTTCCCCGAAATTTAATCGTAGAATAGTTAATCTGAGATATTTTCCCGTTTAAAGATTTTAACCAGAAATTAGATACAATTTTATCAGTAAATACCATGTGATAACATTTTGCGATTTTATTAGTTTCAAATTATTTTTTTTGGCTCTCGTTGACTCTTTTTAATTTATTAAATGTAATTACCTACAGTAAAATTTGAAATTTACATTACAGATTTATCCGAAAGAGGTTAGTCACAACTAGGTTTGTCTGGGCAAAAGCCGAACTATGACGTTTTGACCAAGTGTCGTGGACACTTCGCGTTTTGTCCGGGCATTTTTGAGATTTTTCCGAATTCAGCTTTTGCCAGTAACATATATTTATATATACAGGCTGTCTCATGAAAATATTACACCTCTTGAATATTTCCGGAAATAATAAAGATAATCTAATTATGATTTTTATATATTATAGTTATTCTTTAGGATATTATATTTGTAATATTTTACTTTGTCTTATTGAACTTTTATTTAATGCTAAAATGTTATAAACCCGTATATTTGTAATAAACCATTGAACACAAAAAAAATTAAAATTTACCCAAGCTGATGACAGATCAGTACACGAGATGAACCATATGTCTCAAGTCTCAACTCAATATACTTAAAAATAATTAAGTAGTTATAATAATTTAGGCATAATATTATTAATAAGACGCTAAAAAGATATAAACCACAACCACCTGCACCCGTCTTAAATGAAACCAAACACAAGGTATTTGTATGCATTTTAAATTTTATTAAAAGCAATTTACTTATAAGTGATAATAGGTTATAGATAGTGTTAAATCAATGCATGATCCGAAAAAACTATAAGCATTTACTAAATAAAAATATCAGTTATATTATGTGGAATTGTTCAATTCAGTTGATTGTAACTTTACTAATAAAGTCATCAAATGCTATCTTCAACCTGTCTTCGTATATTTTAGTGGGATTTTTTTCTCCCCGTTCATCTTCCTTCTTTTTTATATCGTACATTTCTTTCACAGCAGTTGAACCCACCATCTGCCTGAAAAACAATAATAAAATATATAACCACAGTTATTTTGGAAAATTAAAAAAATAATTGCTAGTTTAGGAAAATATAAAAACTATACACCCCCTCCTCTAATATGTATAATTTATGAAAAAGACGAAAATCTAAATATAGTATCTAGTTAATCATTAATTAAATACAACATCATCCTCCCCCTCCAATGATAAAATTGTTTGCCACTACTGATATTACTACTACGGTACTTTTATTCTTCTATAGTCCATAGTATAATATTTAAACATTTTACCGATGTATTTATAATATATATAGTTTGTTAAAGGTATTGTCTTATTAATTAGAAGATATTTATTATTTTTTTTTTTTTTTTTGAAATTTGTGTATAACTTATGAGCTTACACGCGAAAAAACACACAGGTTAACAAAAACCGTAAAGAAATTTCTTAAATAATTACCCATATTACCCATATTAATATACAGAAAGGTAGGGTAAAACATTTAAAATATTATAAATTTAAAAAATTTAATATATAGTTACAATTCTAATTTCCATTTCCTTATAATGTCAGCGGAAGTTTCTTCGTCCATACTGTATTTCAGTTCTTCTTTGTATGATAACTCTGCCTCGTATATTTTATTTTGCCATAACTGATTCATTAAAATTTTAAAATCGGTTTCGTTTAAATTGTCGGTAGCTATTTTCATGATTGATGAGCTGTCAAAATCAATATGAAAAAAGTGTAAAAGAGGAAGTAACTATCCATAAATAAGGGGTTGCGTTATTAAATTTATACAACATTTTGAGAAAATTAAATTTAAATAACTATAAACTAAATAAAAGGTACGTTCAAATATACATATATTATATGAATGTATATTTGTAAACGGAAGACGGAGTGGACTTGAATGGGAATGCTTCAAAATTTAATTGGATGTTTATTAAGAGTGTTACTTAGTGGCAAAAAAAATGAGTTTCATGTAGTATATTTTTTTTTTATAAGGGAATTTTAATATCAAATTTTGACAAAAATCGTTTAAGTAAAAAATTATGTGGAATAAATCTAGCTACTGGTCCATGAAAATTATTCAATCACAAGTTCAAACCAGAGTTCTATAAAAAATGCTTTTTTAACAAATGTATATTGCCGATTTAATGATGGTGAAGTCACAATTAAGTGGACTGATAAAACTTTGAAATTATAGCTTTTTGAAGTTCTGTTACTATGCAGATATTGTATGTTATGTTAAATAATTCAATATTGACCTTCTCAAAACATATTTGTCATGATCTAATGGTTATTTATGCCTTCTATCATCCTAGGTATTCTGAGTTCAAACTAGTGTGGCAAATAAAAAAATATTTTGAATTTTTATTTCATTTTTACCTGAACTAGGATAAGACAAATGCATTTTAGATGTACCTAGAGATCCAAGCAATCTTCTCTCAAAATATTTTAATCGCAAAATACCCTTCGATTTTATGTGCAAACTTTTCTATCAGAAATCTTGCTCCAATGTATCAGGTGTAGAAGATTTTCTTAAAGCAAATTTTATCTCCATGGTTTACGGAGGTTTTTTTTTATGATTTTTCAATCGGTTTTCATAATAATTGGGAAAAACAAGGATCCAATGTCGGATAAATGGAAAATGTACTAAATATAGGTATTAGTGAAAAATTATTATGGCCTTTCCGAGAGCTTTCTTAGCAAATTTGATAAAAATATTTGAAAACCGGGAAAAACGCGGGGAAATAGAAAAATCAATACAGTATTGAACAAATATTATTAAAGAAAATATTTAATACCTATTTAATTATTTTACCATAATATGACATATATATATTGTGGAAAAAGTATCATTATCTACTGAACTGCGCTCAGAATTGTTTTTTCGTTAGCAATGGTTTATCGTTGCTTACGGATATACATTAAATTACTTGTAACAGTGACTGCATTCGTCTCCATTATCCTAGGATGTCTTTTTTTATATTTTTTTTTATGTGAACACTTTACTACCAGAAAGCTTACTCCGATTACCAAGTATAGCACTTTTTCTGAAAGGAAATGTTCACTGGATGGTACTTTAGAGAGAGCATATTTTAAAATTCACATTAATATTCGAGATAGTGAGGAAAATCTGATGCTATAGGTTAGAAAATATAGAAAGATTAAGAATGAGGTTGTTTTTGGTGCCTGTTTTAATTATTTTTTGTTATTTATTGTTAAGTTTTTATTATATTAATATTTTTTTTTATACAATCATTCTTGTTATTTTTCCATAATATGCAATATATATATTTTTGACAAAGCAACACACTATAAACTCAATTCCGCTCAAAATCGTTTATTCGTTAGGGTCGTATCGTTGTATATAGGTATACATTAAAGACCCGTCTGTATTCAACTTTCTCAACTTTCCATCTACAATAGTGGCTGCACCCATGTACGAATGATGTCCTTTTTTTTTTCTATTATATGATTAGNATTATTCTATATTAAATTATAAAGTAGAAATGTTGTGTTTTATATGTAATGATAAAATTTTTTATGGTGATGATATAAAGTGCTTAACGTGTTATGAGATTTCTCATTTCGCATGTGCTTTTTTAATGGTGGTACCTTTTCGTAAAATATTTAAAACTACTAAATAAAATTGAAGTGGTAATAAATGCAATTTTCCTAAACTTAGTTCTAAAGTCTCTAATCCTAAGAGTACTACAGTTTTAAATAGTAATGAATCACATACTTTAACCAAAGAGACTATTAAAGCCTATTCGAATCGATCAACTTTATGAGCAATAAATTTGATAGAATTACAAAAAAAATTTACTAGGAATGGTAACAAAAATGAAAAATATCAAGGAAGTAAATTAAATTTTAAATGAACAGATTAGTAAACTAAATAATAAATTAATAATAAGTTGCGTTTCTAAATAAACGTATAAATGTTTTGGAACAGAAGGTAATAGAAAATTTTGTTTAAATTATGGGTGTTCCGGAGTAAATTAATGAAGATTGTGTGAAAACAGTGGATCAATTGCTATATCAGTAAGAGCCAAAATAAATATATTAAAAGCTTTCCATATTTGATAAAAAATCGAAAATAAATCCAATAAAATAATTGCTTAAGTACAAACAAACCAGAGCAAAATAATTATTGAAAGTGTAATAAAATCAAAATTTACAGATAAATCTGTAAATGCTTATTGGAATGATGATAAGTTTTATATAAATGATAGTTTACATAAATTTAACAGACATTTATTTTTAAAAGCTAGAATTGCTGCTCGTATTTTGGGTTGCACATTTGTTTGGTTTAAAGACTTAAAAAATTAAAATATAAAAATCATAATAATTGATAATGAGTATGCTTAATCTAAACTTATTTAATTTATCACCATGGCCAATTTGTTAATTTTAATTTTAATTTTAGATGAAAAACTGTTTATATATACGGGGACATCTCAGCTATAAGACTAATTACTTTAAATCCTTTTCAGAGTGGTTTAATAGGTATATGTAACGATAATAATTATAATTATAAAAATATTCTATGCTATAATATCAGGAGTGTTAACTCATATTTAGATAAACTAATTTTATTTTTGTAAAATTATATTAATAATAAAAAATAGATTTAGTTGTGCTGAATAAAACCTGTCATGATGTATCCATATTCATTGTAATTACACGGTTTATGGTTACACATTATTTTATTCATCCATAAAGAACAATCAAAATCACAATATTTTTATTTTTTCTAAACATACTTTAAACGTAAAGTGAATATGATTTTATTGAAACTATTAAACTAATATTGTTAAACTCTCATTAATGATTATATATATGCCAATTATAATTTTATGCATTTAGATCACCCTCGACTTACATAGGTTTATACAAATACTTAAAGTTATAGAGGATTATAAATATAAATATAAAAGTGATTATACTATACTTATTGGAAATATGAATATAAATATAGTATGCAATAATGCAAATAATCGCGAGTACCTAGATTTATTATCAGAAAATGGTTATTTGTTATTTATAAACATTTATAATAAATTACCCATTGGTCATAATCACTCATGTATTGGTCATATATTTATTAAAAGTGATGACCACCTAATTACTTTAATTAATGTCGGTGTCTTACAAACTGATTTTACTGACTATTTCTTAACCTGTGTTTCTATACCTGTAGATAATACTTTTAAAACTAAAAATAAATATTCATCCTGATAAAATTGAAACGATTGAAACCAAGAAAAATGGTCAAAATGTAAAATAAAACCAATTTTAATGATTATTGTTATATATTTCTAAATATAATTGATAAAGTAATAGATAAATCGACTACACACAAAGTATTTTTTTCTAAAAATGAGTGGATGATTATCAAGTTGTTATACTCTACATGCATAAGGCTAACTATTTTATTAAAAAATAAAAAAATCCAAAAAACACAAATTTAACGTCACACTATAAAAATAAAAAGAGCTGATACTGGGAATAGGAGCAGCCACTGTTATAGATGAGAAGTAAGGAAGGTAGGATATATAAGATTATTTCATTTATATCTGTAAACAACGATAAACCATTGCTTGACGAAAGACGTTTACGAGCGCAGTTAAGGTAATACATAATTTGAAGTGACGTAATTTTTTTTTGAGATTTTGATTTAAAAACGCTTAAAAAAAAAAAAATCTTTTGATGATTTTTGAAATTTAACCGCGTCTAGTTAAGTCCAATATAAGTATTATTACCGAGTTTCAAGTCTCTCTGTGTATTTATAACCGAATTGTTATTGCAAAAATCTCCCAAAAATTAAAAATTCCTTAGAACCTCAAAAGTAGCAATGATACTGTAATATAGTAAATCAAAAAGGCAACAATAAATATAACATGTGATTTTTCAATTCAATTATATTTTCTGGTAGAAAATGTCCTCCGAGTTTTTATAAAATAATGAAAACGTGAACTTGAAAGTTTTCTTACGGTTTTTCCCACTTAAGTGCTTTTATTTAAAAAATGGCGTCGAAAATCAAAAAATGACCTCTTTTAAGTTCACTTTACACAACTTTTGATTTCAGAAAAGTAACATTGGAGCAAGTTTACTAAGAAAAACCGTTTCCTTAGGCATGTTTACGCAACGTGTTCACAAAGAAATCAAAAGCATTGCAAAACCAATAGCTTCCTTGCTACGCTCGGAATCTAAAAATACAAAAATAATTCCCTAATATTTTAAGACGATTAAATTATTAATGCATATTATTGATTAGTTAGTTAATCTGGTAGTTTATGTTTAAAACTTCAATATACAGAAAATTATTTTTCCTGAAATTTCAAGATTGCTGTGATTAAACCTGTTCTAAAGGGTTGGGATAGTACAAATATTAATAATTGTAGGCCAATATCTTTGCTGATAAACTTTTATAAAATTCTAGAGAAAATAATAAAGGCGTTAATTAATAACTTTTTTTGACATTAACAGACTTTTATCTAGGAACCAATATGGGTTCAGACCAGGTATAAAGACATTCTTTATTGTACCAATTAGTTTATTTTTAATGAACTATATAACAGTTGAAAAATGATAGCTGTTTTTTTAAACTTAGTTAAAACGTTTGATACTGTAGATCATAACATTTTATTACAAGTGTTACCTAGTTTAGAATAATTAATTTCAGTTTTAATTGGTTTA